AAAAATAAAAACATTATCACTTTCTCAAAATCACATAAAGTCATATTATAATATCGACTGAGATAAAGAAGAAAATGAAATATTAAAATCATGATGCATCTCGCTGCATTGCGCGAGTACGCTTCTAGTATATAATTAATAAATATCTATTAATATTAATAATGTTTAAATTTTATTAATATTTATTTATAATAAATAATAATTAATATTAATGAGAGTTATAATTGAAAAAAAATGACAATAAGCTACCAAAACGTTAGTCGAGTAACTTTTCAATAAGTTAGCTTATATGCATCCAAACATTATTCCACAAAATAAGCTAGTTTTTTCTGCCAAGCAATGCCTTAGACTATTTTACCGAACAAATGGAATATTCCAATAATCCTTTTGTTTGTTTGTTTTTTTAATCAGAGTCTTTTTTCTAATTATAAACATAGGCGAAGGATCGTATGAGAAGAAGAATTAATCTGAGAATCGTAAGAAGGGATCTCGACTCTTTATCACTTTTAATCTCTTACCCACTCATGAATTGCGTTTCTCATGAGAAATGATCCGCTACATCTTGGTGCATCCCATCATAATGTTTCGGTGAAAAGTGAAAAAAAATATACACCATTTGATCAATCCTAATTGAATATCAACACTAATGAGGTCCACCAAGATGCACCAAATCAATTATCTTCTAAAACACAATTTATAGATGACATGAGATAAAAAAAATGAGCAAGAGTTCAAATATCTTCTTACGCTTCTCACCATAACTTCTTTTCACATTTGGATTTTAAAGTGTGTCAAAATAAATTTCTTGACTGATGGGTCAAGTAATAATGGGCTGATCACAGTATATTACTGCAAACTAATGGTTACTTACCAATTGGCTTTTAGCCTAGCGGTATCGTAGTTTTTGGCGTATTAGGATGTCAAGGGTTCAAAATTCACCAAAGATGAGAATAATGTATGAGTTTATCTATTACATTTACCGTATATAAATATCATGTACTTAAAAAAACTAATGGTTGCTTTATATAAGAATAGAGCTGACACTCATATTCCCACACCTTTGGGGGTCTTTACAGAATGGAGTGATTTAACTCCAATTTTAAAATAAGGTGTAGCATTAGAAAGTTAGCTATTTTATATAACACTTAAAAGTGTTTAATAAACACGTATATGTTGTATTATAAAACATTTGTTATAAATTTTTTAAAACTATTTTTATGCGTAAAATACTGTTTATTGATGCATATTACTTAAAATTCAAGATTACAAATAAATTGTGCATAAGTATAACTTATTAAAGTTGAATCTTTGAATTCGTGTAACTAACTACAAATAAACATAATCAAATACGAGATAAACGTCTCGTTTTAAATATAAAAAAATATAAAATAATTATTGAGTTCTAACAAAGTACTTAATTATTATTTTTTATAAGAACTTATGTTGTTAAACTAAAAATAAATTACTTCAATATTAAACTTTAAT